AATAAAAAAATAGAGTATGGGGAAGGATGGAGAAAGTTATAGAGAAGAATTATGTTGGATAGGCAATTGAGAAAGTAATCGAAAAGAATGAGAAATAGGATGAAAAAAGGGAATTCAAATTAAATATTTTGAACTTGAGAATTGAACACTTTGGTGACCTAGAAAATCTTAAATGAGATGCTTAATTTAAACTAATGTCGTTAAGCTACAATTACTCAAATAATTCTTTTTCTTAGAGGCTAAGCATGGTTAGTTTGAGTTAAACTTGGCCACTTAAGCTAACGAAACAATAAGTTGCCTATGCTAATTTGTTCCCAAAAAATAAAAAAATAGAGTATGGGGAAGGATGGAGAAAGTTATAGAGAAGAATTATGTTGGATAGGCAATTGAGAAAGTAATCGAAAAGAATGAGAAATAGGATGAAAAAAGGGAATTCAAATTAAATATTTTGAACTTGAGAATTGAACACTTTGGTGACCTAGAAAATCTTAAATGAGATGCTTAATTTAAACTAATGTCGTTAAGCTACAATTACTCAAATAATTCTTTTTCTTAGAGGCTAAGCATGGTTAGTTTGAGTTAAACTTGGCCACTTAAGCTAACGAAACAATAAGTTGCCTATGCTAATTTGTTCCCAAAAAATAAAAAAATAGAGTATGGGGAAGGATGGAGAAAGTTATAGAGAAGAATTATGTTGGATAGGCAATTGAGAAAGTAATCGAAAAGAATGAGAAATAGGATGAAAAAAGGGAATTCAAATTAAATATTTTGAACTTGAGAATTGAACACTTTGGTGACCTAGAAAATCTTAAATGAGATGCTTAATTTAAACTAATGTCGTTAAGCTACAATTACTCAAATAATTCTTTTTCTTAGAGGCTAAGCATGGTTAGTTTGAGTTAAACTTGGCCACTTAAGCTAACGAAACAATAAGTTGCCTATGCTAATTTGTTCCCAAAAAATAAAAAAATAGAGTATGGGGAAGGATGGAGAAAGTTATAGAGAAGAATTATGTTGGATAGGCAATTGAGAAAGTAATCGAAAAGAATGAGAAATAGGATGAAAAAAGGGAATTCAAATTAAATATTTTGAACTTGAGAATTGAACACTTTGGTGACCTAGAAAATCTTAAATGAGATGCTTAATTTAAACTAATGTCGTTAAGCTACAATTACTCAAATAATTCTTTTTCTTAGAGGCTAAGCATGGTTAGTTTGAGTTAAACTTGGCCACTTAAGCTAACGAAACAATAAGTTGCCTATGCTAATTTGTTCCCAAAAAATAAAAAAATAGAGTATGGGGAAGGATGGAGAAAGTTATAGAGAAGAATTATGTTGGATAGGCAATTGAGAAAGTAATCGAAAAGAATGAGAAATAGGATGAAAAAAGGGAATTCAAATTAAATATTTTGAACTTGAGAATTGAACACTTTGGTGACCTAGAAAATCTTAAATGAGATGCTTAATTTAAACTAATGTCGTTAAGCTACAATTACTCAAATAATTCTTTTTCTTAGAGGCTAAGCATGGTTAGTTTGAGTTAAACTTGGCCACTTAAGCTAACGAAACAATAAGTTGCCTATGCTAATTTGTTCCCAAAAAATAAAAAAATAGAGTATGGGGAAGGATGGAGAAAGTTATAGAGAAGAATTATGTTGGATAGGCAATTGAGAAAGTAATCGAAAAGAATGAGAAATAGGATGAAAAAAGGGAATTCAAATTAAATATTTTGAACTTGAGAATTGAACACTTTGGTGACCTAGAAAATCTTAAATGAGATGCTTAATTTAAACTAATGTCGTTAAGCTACAATTACTCAAATAATTCTTTTTCTTAGAGGCTAAGCATGGTTAGTTTGAGTTAAACTTGGCCACTTAAGCTAACGAAACAATAAGTTGCCTATGCTAATTTGTTCCCAAAAAATAAAAAAATAGAGTATGGGGAAGGATGGAGAAAGTTATAGAGAAGAATTATGTTGGATAGGCAATTGAGAAAGTAATCGAAAAGAATGAGAAATAGGATGAAAAAAGGGAATTCAAATTAAATATTTTGAACTTGAGAATTGAACACTTTGGTGACCTAGAAAATCTTAAATGAGATGCTTAATTTAAACTAATGTCGTTAAGCTACAATTACTCAAATAATTCTTTTTCTTAGAGGCTAAGCATGGTTAGTTTGAGTTAAACTTGGCCACTTAAGCTAACGAAACAATAAGTTGCCTATGCTAATTTGTTCCCAAAAAATAAAAAAATAGAGTATGGGGAAGGATGGAGAAAGTTATAGAGAAGAATTATGTTGGATAGGCAATTGAGAAAGTAATCGAAAAGAATGAGAAATAGGATGAAAAAAGGGAATTCAAATTAAATATTTTGAACTTGAGAATTGAACACTTTGGTGACCTAGAAAATCTTAAATGAGATGCTTAATTTAAACTAATGTCGTTAAGCTACAATTACTCAAATAATTCTTTTTCTTAGAGGCTAAGCATGGTTAGTTTGAGTTAAACTTGGCCACTTAAGCTAACGAAACAATAAGTTGCCTATGCTAATTTGTTCCCAAAAAATAAAAAAATAGAGTATGGGGAAGGATGGAGAAAGTTATAGAGAAGAATTATGTTGGATAGGCAATTGAGAAAGTAATCGAAAAGAATGAGAAATAGGATGAAAAAAGGGAATTCAAATTAAATATTTTGAACTTGAGAATTGAACACTTTGGTGACCTAGAAAATCTTAAATGAGATGCTTAATTTAAACTAATGTCGTTAAGCTACAATTACTCAAATAATTCTTTTTCTTAGAGGCTAAGCATGGTTAGTTTGAGTTAAACTTGGCCACTTAAGCTAACGAAACAATAAGTTGCCTATGCTAATTTGTTCCCAAAAAATAAAAAAATAGAGTATGGGGAAGGATGGAGAAAGTTATAGAGAAGAATTATGTTGGATAGGCAATTGAGAAAGTAATCGAAAAGAATGAGAAATAGGATGAAAAAAGGGAATTCAAATTAAATATTTTGAACTTGAGAATTGAACACTTTGGTGACCTAGAAAATCTTAAATGAGATGCTTAATTTAAACTAATGTCGTTAAGCTACAATTACTCAAATAATTCTTTTTCTTAGAGGCTAAGCATGGTTAGTTTGAGTTAAACTTGGCCACTTAAGCTAACGAAACAATAAGTTGCCTATGCTAATTTGTTCCCAAAAAATAAAAAAATAGAGTATGGGGAAGGATGGAGAAAGTTATAGAGAAGAATTATGTTGGATAGGCAATTGAGAAAGTAATCGAAAAGAATGAGAAATAGGATGAAAAAAGGGAATTCAAATTAAATATTTTGAACTTGAGAATTGAACACTTTGGTGACCTAGAAAATCTTAAATGAGATGCTTAATTTAAACTAATGTCGTTAAGCTACAATTACTCAAATAATTCTTTTTCTTAGAGGCTAAGCATGGTTAGTTTGAGTTAAACTTGGCCACTTAAGCTAACGAAACAATAAGTTGCCTATGCTAATTTGTTCCCAAAAAATAAAAAAATAGAGTATGGGGAAGGATGGAGAAAGTTATAGAGAAGAATTATGTTGGATAGGCAATTGAGAAAGTAATCGAAAAGAATGAGAAATAGGATGAAAAAAGGGAATTCAAATTAAATATTTTGAACTTGAGAATTGAACACTTTGGTGACCTAGAAAATCTTAAATGAGATGCTTAATTTAAACTAATGTCGTTAAGCTACAATTACTCAAATAATTCTTTTTCTTAGAGGCTAAGCATGGTTAGTTTGAGTTAAACTTGGCCACTTAAGCTAACGAAACAATAAGTTGCCTATGCTAATTTGTTCCCAAAAAATAAAAAAATAGAGTATGGGGAAGGATGGAGAAAGTTATAGAGAAGAATTATGTTGGATAGGCAATTGAGAAAGTAATCGAAAAGAATGAGAAATAGGATGAAAAAAGGGAATTCAAATTAAATATTTTGAACTTGAGAATTGAACACTTTGGTGACCTAGAAAATCTTAAATGAGATGCTTAATTTAAACTAATGTCGTTAAGCTACAATTACTCAAATAATTCTTTTTCTTAGAGGCTAAGCATGGTTAGTTTGAGTTAAACTTGGCCACTTAAGCTAACGAAACAATAAGTTGCCTATGCTAATTTGTTCCCAAAAAATAAAAAAATAGAGTATGGGGAAGGATGGAGAAAGTTATAGAGAAGAATTATGTTGGATAGGCAATTGAGAAAGTAATCGAAAAGAATGAGAAATAGGATGAAAAAAGGGAATTCAAATTAAATATTTTGAACTTGAGAATTGAACACTTTGGTGACCTAGAAAATCTTAAATGAGATGCTTAATTTAAACTAATGTCGTTAAGCTACAATTACTCAAATAATTCTTTTTCTTAGAGGCTAAGCATGGTTAGTTTGAGTTAAACTTGGCCACTTAAGCTAACGAAACAATAAGTTGCCTATGCTAATTTGTTCCCAAAAAATAAAAAAATAGAGTATGGGGAAGGATGGAGAAAGTTATAGAGAAGAATTATGTTGGATAGGCAATTGAGAAAGTAATCGAAAAGAATGAGAAATAGGATGAAAAAAGGGAATTCAAATTAAATATTTTGAACTTGAGAATTGAACACTTTGGTGACCTAGAAAATCTTAAATGAGATGCTTAATTTAAACTAATGTCGTTAAGCTACAATTACTCAAATAATTCTTTTTCTTAGAGGCTAAGCAAGGTCAGTTTGAGTTAAACTTGACCACTTAAGCTAATGAAAGTTAAAGTCCTATGTAGTGTCAGTGGGTCAAATCCTATTTACTTAAGGGCAAGGGCTTTTGGAAAGTTAAAGTCGCTAATGACCCCTCCTGGGTTTGGAGGAAGATATTGTCTCTTAGGGATTGGATGTGCCCTCTAATTACTCACAAAATTGGTTGCGGGGAGTCCACTTTCCTGTGGTACGATAACTGGCACACTCTTGGTTCGCTGTGGAACAAGTTTGGGGACAGAATTATGTATGATTCATGCCTTAACAGTGAGACCAAAGTTAGTGAAATCATTTATGGTCATTCGTGGAAGTGGCCTATTTCCAATTCTTGGGAGATTCAGGAGTTGATTTCCTTTACTCCTGATTGTTGTACACCTAACCCATCTAGGTGTGACCAAGCTATCTGGAAACTTACTATTGATGGTCAGTTTTCCATTCACTCAGCTTGGAATCATTGGAGAAATAGATTTGGGAAAGTGGATTGGCATAGGCTCCTTTGGGGGCCTCATAGGATTCCTAAAGTTAGTTTCATAGTCTGGGTAGCTCTTCACAACAGACTTTATACTGGTGATAGGTTACTTATGTTTGGTCTAGCCCCTCATTCTCAATGCCCTTTCTGCCTAAAACCTGGGGAAAGTCATTCCCATCTCTTTTTCAAGTGCATCTTTTCTAACAGAGTTTGGAGTGCTATTGAAGTTAAATGCAACATAAAGTGGCCTGATTTTGATTGGCCTGATATTGTTACACATGCTACGAAGGAGGCCAAGGGTAAATCTTTGAGGGCCAATATTCTGAGCAATGCATTCTTGTGTTCTGTTTACCACATCTGGATTGAGAGAAATAATTGTGTTTTTAACAAAGGATTTAAGCTTGAAGAGGTGGTTATTAAATCTGTAATCCAGATGGTGAGAAATAAAATGCTGTCTCTGAAGAATTTTCCTAGATCCACTGAGGACACTTGGTTTCTTGACCAATGGAATCTGCCAGCAACAATTATGAAGCCCCATACTATCATTGATGAGAGGGCTGCTGAGTGATGTGAGTTCTCTATATGTGGGTTGAGTGTTGGTGAGCAATATGGAGTGTTTAGTTAATGGTTTGGTATTGTGCAGGTTATGTTCAGAGTTCATTGTGGAATCACCTAGTTAATTAAGGGTTGAGTGAATAGCGGAATAATAAAATTTTCACTTCATATGTGGGTTGAGTGATTTCGGCCTTTATACTTATTGCTAATGTTAATAAATATTGTATCTTTTTATATGCAGGATAAGGAAGCACAAGTTGAGTGCTGTGAGTCTCTAAATTGTGGGTCGAGTGGAGTGAGATCCTATGTTAAGGGCACTGCTGCTTATATGTTATATTCTAGTAGATTGTATCTTACATGCTGGAGGTACTCACT